GTGTGTGTGTGTGTGTGTGTGTGTGTGTGTGTGTGTGTGTGTGTGTGTGTGTGTGCGGGGGTCAGCATTTTCCCTTGTGACAATTTCTTTTGTGCGGCACACTTTAAGGGCTTGGCATTCACATTCGTAGTCGCTGCTGCATTCGCATTCCCATCCGCATTGTTTGGGCAGTGGGCGGGGCACAGTTTAAAGCAAATCCACAACTGCCAGCCAAGTGGCGGCTGTTTCCACTCTTCTCGACTGCATCTTTCAAATGAACAAAGCTCATTTACATTTTCCAATTAAATCCACCAGCCAAGCAGCCAGGCAACAGCGGCGTCCTGCACACCAGCCCCCCAGCCACGCCCACGTCGTCGCTTTTAACAGCCAACTCCGGCAGCTGGCATTGCACATCTGCCGGATGCTGTTAGCGCTCCCACGCTCAGCCGCACCCCGAGGGGCACAGCTGTGGGCGCCATAGGGTATGCCAACTATTTAATAAGCTATGTAAATCACATAAATATCTCGCATCGATCAGCCATATGCAAATTATATAATAATGCGAGCTTAAATCCGCAAAACTTTCATAATTTGCACAATTTCTCACTACGCAGATTGTCTGAATCGAATAAGAATTTATAACCTAGAATACATCTATTCTAATGCTGAAAATGTGCAAGGCACAAAATCCCTTAAGTCTTTTAAGTTAATTGAGCTATACTAAAAGTAATAGCAACATGATTGATAATTAATTAATTATTTATTTATTATTAACAGTTTGTATTTCAATGACAGCGTTCAATGTCAGAACAGCCTGCATATTTATGATATTAGTCTGGTTAATCAAGACTTGTAAGTGGCAGCTTGATGGAATTTTCTTTATATTTATAACAATCTTAGCTATCGTTAACGATTCTCTATATATACAGCGTAAAATTGATCTATTTCAGTGACGCCAGTGGTTTAATATCTAAATAATATTAATACAATAATTAAATAAATTCAAATCCCCAATCGTTAGTCTAGCATTTCGTATTTAGCTGCGTTTCGATCTCTATTTTTCGCAGTTATCAGCTCTTGGAGAGTATGCAAATTCGTTGAGTTCATTCTTTTGATTCGACTTGTTGTTATTATTATTGTTTTCATTTGCGCTAAAAACATTTAACAGATGCAACATCTACAATAAACAGCACACGAGCTAGCTGCAGCTCTCTGTCAGTTCTGTCCCTCCTCTCTCACTCTCCTCCATCTCGCTCATCTCCTGCATTCCTTCAACCCCTTATCCAGAGCATTTTCTTACCAACAGACTGATTTTCGTTGTTGTGTGTTTGTGTTTTCAGCGTGAAATTAAAATTTAACAGAGGGACAAAAAACGCAACTCCGCATATGTATGCACTATAATGCACACACACTGCATATATACATATGCATAAATGCAAAAACAAGAAGAAGAAGCGCAACAATGGCAACATCAGCCACACCAACAACAACAACAATAACATTGATGTTGACATTTGACGTCGGCTCTCAGCGTTCTCTTTTATCCGTTAGAGTCTCTCAGTGTTGGCATTTGCAGCCGTTTTTCCTGCCTCTGTCCAATGCCATGCCCCCTCTTTCGTTGGGATTTTCTTTTTCGGACGCTTTATTTATTATTGCAGTGTCGCTGCTTTCCAACTGCATAGCGAAAAACAACAACAATAACAAACCTGACTGAAAACTGTGTCAAAATTAACAAATAAAACTTTTTATTAAACAAATGCACAAAAGTGTATTCTGCTTGTTTAGCCAGTGTGTGTGCGCGTCTGCATGCGTGTGTGTGTGTGGTTGGTTTTGTTGTGGGATACAAGAGAATATGACAAACAGACAGACAGACGAACAAACAACATACAAAGTACAAAAGCTGAACGTAAATATGAAGTTGCATTGCTAGACAGAAAGAGAGAGAGAAACAGAGTAGGGGATGGAGGGAGAAATACCAGATTTTTTCACCAGGGCAAAAGGGTTATAAAATTTTAGTGGAATCGTAAACCCATGTAAAATACACACCCACATATATGGAATATACAACAGTTTCATCATAAAATATATGTTCTATTATAAAACTTTATGGGGCGTCGCGGAGGGAAAGGGTCAAACGAGTACGATTTGAAGTGCATTTTTATTTTTTGACTAATTTAAGCTCTGTGCAAAGTGATATATAAAAAGTGGTTTACCAATCATTCAAAGCTTTGAATTATTAAATACATTTTTCCCTTGGTTCAGTATTAAGAGTGAGAGCGAAAGAGATGGAATACATATTAACATTAATATTTAATCTTTTTTTGAGACACTAATTAGTGATGCAGAAACACAGTGCCGATCGTTTGAAAAACAATCGAATTTTTGCTAAAGCCCAACCAACATGCTTCAGCATATCAACATTTAATATTTTTTGTCATCACTAGCCGTAAATTGCAATACGCTATATTTCTATAAACTGAGTTCAACACTTTTCCTACACTTGCAAATCAGATGATTCACTACTTGCTTTAGCTCCTTCCATTCGATTCACACTCCAACAATTATTAATGTCGGGACGGCGCGAACGCCATTCCCGGCTACCAAAAATTACACGCACGAGTTATTCACATTAGGAATAATCGCAGAGGTCAACTCAGCCGAAAGTGCAATGACCAAGCCTCACTCCGGAGGAACCGCCTTCGTGATCACGGTTAACCTCTACGCCAGGTAAGTATGCTTAATTCAGCATAGACCTAGCGTTACCTTATGCGACCAACTAAAACCGTTTGGGAATTATAAGAATCTTGCATGAACATCTTGCGCCCTGTGCTAGGCAATACTTTTTAATACGACTATGGTTCATAGCAGCCTACGACATTTTGGTTTAATATGATGAATGTTCTAATTATATTTTTGAACTAAAAATAATTTATTATGAATTGCTGAAGAAATACTATTAGTAGCGAAGACATTCTTTATTGCTTCTTTAAGTTATAGTAAGACTTTTCAAGGCAAATATCTTAAAACGTATAAGCGATTAGCAATATTATTTCATGAAAATAATAGAATAGCAAGAGTAAATTTTGAAATATACCATATATATGTATCTGCTTTATTTTGCATCATATTCTTTCTATATGTGAATACTTTACAGTTTTGCTTTAAAGCGTGCATAGTATTATTTTTATTTGCTTGCATCTCCTTTTTAAGCGCTATTCAAGTATTATGCTTGTGCAAATATTTGCCATTGTTCTAAACTAAAAATATGCACTTTTTCAGCGGCTCTCAGATGCGGGCCACATGCAGCACGGCCAACATTGACACCATCGATAAAGCCAGCCAGCAAAAGCTACCACAACTACAACAATACCACACGCTGGTTTAACGACATTTCAGTTAAAGACTAAAGTTGTTGATTTTGATGTTGTTGTTGTTTTTAGTGACTAGCCGTTGGGGACATTGTTGTTGCTGTTGTTGTTGTTGTTGTTGACTATGCGTTGCCAATTTTGAAAATGCAATGAAAAATTCTAAAAGCGAAGGACAGAGCCTGGCCAACTGGCGAACACTTCATTTACAGCATTACGAGAAGGCGTCAAGCGACAAGAGGGAGACAAAGAGAGAGAGTGAGAGAGGTAGTGCAGACAGCAGCCAACGCATCGCTGACCAAACGCAACGCGTCAGTGCGTGTTGTGTGTGCGTGTGCATTTATTATAAAGCCAAGCGGCCATAGAGCGTGCGAGTGAGAGAGATGACGAGAGAGAGAGAGAGAGAGACAAAGAGAAAGAAACGGCTGCTGCTGTCGTTGACTGCCAAATTCATGTGGCTTTTCATGCATTTCAATTAAGCTGCTGCTAGTTGGTGGGGGCTGCTGCGAAAAGTGTTGGAAAATGTGCGAACAATGTATGCAGCAGCAGCAGCAGACATCACGATGTAGCAAGGTGAGAGCGAGAAAGAGACAGACTGAGGGTGAGGGAGGCAGACAGCCAATCCTGTCGCTTTTAATGAATTAGCTAAGTCGTCTCTTGACTTGTGTCGAGTGCCTGCACCTGGTCACACTTTGCTTTCATTTCGTTTTATTGGGATCAAACACACTCACTCACACACAAACACACACACACACCCCTCGATAGACTGTCTTGGCGGCGATAAACATCATTAGACGGCACAAAAGCGACGGCACATAAAGCGCTTTATTTGCATGTTGTCTGCTTTTAGATGCCACTGACCCCCACCAGTCGCACAATAAACAGCCGAAGGCCAAGGGGCAGAGTTGGGCAGGCGGAGAGCCAGTTGTACAAAGCATACGCCCAGGTGCCAGGTGTTTGCATTATTGAGTCACTTTGAAAGGCGCATTTTCACGCCGCATTTTTTTTTTCTTACAGTTTTACTCTGATAAATATGCTGTTTACCCAGGCTTGCCAGAAGGCTCGCACAGAGGTGGAGGGAAATGCTTGCAATACCCTACCGACGGCGATTCACACATTTGCTGGCTAGCTTTAAAACATAGATGCGAATAGAA